ACAGAAAGTGTTGGAGAGGTGTCTGGAGAGAGAGGTAAACAAGAAAGCTCATTGGAGCTGCAGCAGACGACAGCACCGTGCTCGGTTATTCAGACAGTACCTCAAGAGACAACAGAGCTCAATGGGCAGTATTCTCTGGTCGAAGCAGAACCACAGGAGACCACGGAGCCCAGTGCACAGTGCTCTGTGGTCCATAAGGAACCAAACCAGACCACAGACATGAATGGAGAGTATTCTATGGTACAGGCTGAACCACAACAGACCACGGAACCAAACACACCGTTGTATTCAGTGGTCCAAAAGAAACCGAAACAAGCCAAAGAGCTGCCAGTCCAAACAGACCCACAGCAGTCCCCAGACCCCAATGCACAGTATGCAGTGGTCCAAAAGAAGCCAAAACAAGCCAAAGAGCTGCCAGTCCAAACAGACCCACAGCAGTCCCCAGACCCCAATGCACAGCCAAAGCAGCTACCTGTAGAACCACATGGTACAACAGAACTCAATGGCCAGTACTCTGGGGTCCAAGAAGCCGTAAACATGTGGGGAAAAGACCTGGACATGAGGAAACAGGTAGCTAGTGTTTACTAACCTTGTAAAAATACTCGCAATATGGGAAGAATTTATAACGATAATCGGAAACATCCAAATTGTGTCCTTTTAGTTTCATAGTCGCCTGCTAATCATGCATTTTCCTTCCCCAGAAAATGTGTGTGTATACTGATAATACCCCATCCACACAACTACCTCCCGTGCCTCCACACACTGTCAAGGTTAGCTAGGAAAAAGTGTGTTTATACATCGTCCACTGTGCATTTTCACACTAACCCCAAATAGTTAAAAGAGTCTGCACCATGTTATGTCAATCCTACGTGGTATATTTTCACTATGAGGTTTGCATAACACACATAGAAGAAACGTTTCATGTGTACCCAAAAGCACATCGTCTATCCTTGCGTGCTTTGATGTAAGTGACTGACATAAATGTGCTTAAGTTAAGTTGTTAATTTTACCACAGCCAATATATCTACCCAATTTCTCTCTCTGCTATTGTCTTAGACCCTCGTCTATGCAGAGGTGGGTCCACACATCTCTCAGACCTGCAGACAAATGTTCAACCCCCAGTCAGACAGAGTCCAGTATGCCTCTCTGGACCACACTGCCACAGTGAGGGCAGTACCACCAGCAGAGCCTCTGCAGGATCCAGGTAAAGGACAGCATTAGTCTGGTTGACAAAGTGTTACAATTCAGAAGAAGCAATAAAACCATAACTACTGTATATGCTATTATGTTGCTTTCTACAGATTTGGAAGTGAGTCTGGACCAGATCCTCATTCAGTTGAGGGAAGTCACTCCTCACTGGAGGAGACTGGGAGAGGCAGTTGGTGTACAGAGGCTGGACGAAATCTCTGAATATGTATGTCAACCATGGGAATAATGTATTGTCTTATTGTGATCTCTCTCTGTCCAGGTGGGTAGTGAGAGTGAGGCAATGGTGGAGGTGGTGGATGGATGGCTGGCCAACCTCCACCCCAACAAGCCCACGTGGAGGGAGATAGCTGATGTGGTGGACAGCATTGGTCACCATGACCTGGCTCACTCCCTCAGACAGGTCTACATCTCAGGTGATTTGCCCCACTTGGACAAAGTGTGCATGCCTTCGGTAAAATGTGGTGTGAGACAGGTCTATGTCTCAGGTATACCAGCTAACTACACTCATTCACAATGTTTCTAATTTGCTGTAATCCATGGTAATCTTTATGATTTATATACTACAATGTTGTTTTATGAAAGGTTCACTGCCCATAAAAGTGAGCAATGACCTGCCGGAGTCTCTGATGGTCAGAGAATTAACTCCAACTCCTCCACTTCCCCCTCGTGGAGCTGATGATGATGAACAACTTCCTCCACCGTTACCTGCAAGAACTTTTTCATAGTCTTACTTAGCTGATGTGTGCATAATACGAGTTTTTGACATTCGCCCTCTATTGTCTGCGCGCGTGGGGTCACGCGCAGTCAGATCGCATAATGCGCATGCGCAAAAAAACAATTTTCGCCGCGCTGCAATCAGTGGTGGCGCGTTTTGCAGACGGGGCAATGAAGCGCCATGTGGTATGTTCCTTCTTGATTAAGATTCGTTACACTGTGTTGATATGCTGGATCTGGTGGAGCTGTGGTGGTGTGCCTGGTTGAATGATTTTGTATATACTCGTCTGAGGGGCACGTCGATCCGGTGTTGAGAAATTGCGCATGCGCTCTACATTTTTTCCTACGGCAGGGCGGCCTGTCTAGCACACAGTGGCAGAATGAAGCATTCTTCATGCGAAATTTTCTCCACTTACTTTTTAATTTGTTGGCTCTGGTGGAGCTGTGGTAAGTCTACAGAGTATTTATGCTCACAATGTGCTTGGTTTGAATCTATATATTATATACAGTCTACTCATCTGAGCCAGGACCTGAGGATTGTGGGACAACTGTGAACCTTACCAGTGTCAATAACACCATCATCTATGTGAATGCCTCCCTGGATACAGTATGCTTCGAATGTGACTACACACAAGTTTTGGGTCTCACTAATGAGGCGGTGTTCAGGGTGAATGACACTAATGTTACTTCCAACAGCACCCTGGGAAGAGTGGTGAAGAAATATACGCATAGTCATTCAGATACACTGGTAGTGAATGACAGTAGCAGTGTATTTAATACATTTTCTGACACAAACATACAATGCTGTGAGGTTTTTACCAATGGTTCATGGTCATGCAGTTGGAAGTTTTTCATGGCAAAAGTAGGAGTTTTGCTCTTTAAAGGTATTAGATTATAGTTGGTATCACTATCACTAAAATATCTCCACCAGTTTTCAACCCTCCATCCATTTTGGGGGAAAGAGAGGTCACTGAAGGAAGTCCACTATATTTATTGTGTGATGGGTCAAACTCAGACCCTCGACCAACTTTACAATGGATCTCTCCTGATGGGAAGATAGTCAGTGAGAGTGGGAAACTTGATATAGTGACTACCACCAGGAATATGACTGGGATATACACCTGTGTAGCTACTCTCCCTCGCTCCACTGCTACTATGAACACCACTGTGGATATCACCATAGTTTCAAGTAAGGTTGCTGAAAGTGTTGTCCCATTTTCTTTTGAATATTGCACATACAGTTGAATGTCCAACATTGAAGTCAACAGACGCCATCATAGTCAACATGAGCTCCACTGCAGTGGGCAGTACTGCTACCTATCAGTGTAGAGATGGTCCCACTGATGTGTACACTACTCAGTGTACCAGTACTGGAGTATGGGATCCTCACCCTCTCTCTACTCTGGACTGTACTGAGTCTAATGGGCCAGGTAAACATTTGTTTCTCCCCTGTTGTAGTTTGCAAAACAAACTGCTATTGTTTGTGCTGATAAAACCGCAACTGTCTCTTACAAACATGTTTATGTGCGTCACACAGGACAAACGTCTACTCTCCAACCATGTCAAATTGGGGTAATAATTCTCTCTTTCATTGTCTTGGTTCCAACTGGTCTGCTAGTGGGAGCACTTGTGAAAATAGTATTTCTTACAAAGAAAGGTGGGACAAATCCAACATTATCCAAACTATTTCATAACCCCAACACAGGATCAGAGCAGAAGACAAGAGAAGAGAGGTTGGAGATGGATGTCAACGTGGCTTATGGTACTCCTAAAGAGATCATGGCACGCAGGACAAGCAAACAAACCTAAGTGAACTGGCTTATTACACACAAGAAAACAGTGTAGCTGTATGCCCACTAACTCCACACTAATATTTGCAGAGCAGAGCGCATGCGCAAAATGTGACGATCGCGGACTGATCGCGAACGCGTGGATGCACTACCCGCCACACTACTCCTCACGATAGCATGTCTCACGCTCATATGGGGAGCTAGTGGGGGGAAAGGTGAAGCCGTTATGAAGCTCCACATGCCACGAGCCTTCTTGATTACGATTCGTTACCACTTTGTGTTGGTATGCTGAATCTGGTGGAGTTGTGGTAAGTCCATAAGATATGTAGCTATGCTTGGTTCAATGTTTTGCTTCAGTCTACTCGTCTGAGCTAGGACCTGAGGATTGTGGGACAACTGTGAACGTTACCAGTGTCAATAACAGCATCATCTATGTGAATGCCTCCCTGGATACAGTATGCTTTGAATGTGACTACACACAACTTTTAAGTTTCTTTAATGAGGTGGTGTTCAGGGTGAATGACACAGTTGTTACTCCAAGCAGCACTCTGGGAAGAGTGGCGGAGAATTATCCACATAATGATTCAGATACACTGATAGTGAATGACAGTAGCAGCGTGTTCAGTACATTCTCTGACACATGTTGAAAATATTGATCAAACTCGATTCAATATCGATAGCAGCTACAGAGCAACGCACATGGAGAGAGAGATCACGTGATACAAAAGTAATATTGAAACCAATGGATAAATAGAATGTCCAGTTCTAGTACAGTTCTGGTGCGAGTGTTTCTTTCCAACACTCCTCCTCACTCGTTACCAGAATGAAGTCCAACTCCAGCCATCGATCGTAGCTTCATAAACTGTTCCTTGGGAAGTCCTTTGGTCATCATATCTGCGACCATCTCCTTTGTAGGACAATACTTGAGTTCCACAGCTCCTCTGTCCACTTGATCTCTGATGAAATGATACTTAATAGAGATGTGTTTCGAACGACCATGAAACTGAGGGTTCTTCGACATGCTGATAGCAGACTGATTGTCCTCAAAGAGTGTAGTGGCTTCCTGTGGACGATCTTCCAGAACTGCAGTTAGTTGACTCATCCAGATCGCCTCCTGAGCTGCGCTTGCAAGTGCAACATACTCAGCTTCTGCCGTAGAGAGCGCGACGCAGGTCTGTTTCTTGCTCCTCCAGCTAACAGCCCCACCACTGATGAGGAAAAGATATCCAGATGTCGATTTCCTATCATCAAGATCACCACCCCAATCGGCATCCGAGTAGCCGACACAGTCACCTGATGCGTCAGAAGTGAAAGCCAGACCGTAGTCAGCAGTGCCTCTGAGATACCTCAGGATACGCTTTACCGCTGTCCAGTGGTGCATAGTCGGATGTGAAGAGAACTTTGCAACATTGCTGACGGCGAATGCGATATCTGGTCGAGTGGCCATGACCAAGTACAGCAGACTTCCAACAGCTGATTGATATTTCTGCTGATCAATGCACTCGTCATTTGCTGTCGCTTTCATTAGCTTTGTGCTGCTATCGTATCGACGGGAGTAGCAACGGGCTTTGCACTTTCCATTCCAAACTTCCTCAGCAGGTTTTCCGTGTAAACTTGCTGCCCAACCCACACGTTTCCAGTGGATTCGTCTTGGACGATTTTCATTCCGAGGAAGTGGTGTAGCTTTCCTAGATCTTTGATATCGAACTTCTTGGCGAGAGACTGCTTTACTTCTGCGAGTCGTCCCTTGCTCTTTGAAACCATCACGATGTCATCGACGTAGACACCAATGAAGAATGGCTCTCCACTTGATGCACGATAGATACAGGGATCACTCTCAGCTTGAATAAAACCAAGCCCTTTCAGATGCTGGTGAAGCGCAATATTCCAGCAGCGTGGTGACTGCTTGAGGCCGTACAGACTCTTCTTTAGTCTGCAAACGAGATGCTCCTGCCCCTTGGCGACAAAACCCTCCGGCTGTTTCATAAAGACCTCCTCTTCCAGCTTGCCATTGAGAAAGGCAGTGGTGACATCAACCTGATGTAGCTGGAGATCATGCTGCACCGACAGTGCAATGAGAGTCCGGATAGATTCCTGCCTCACCACAGGGCAGAAGGTCTCATCATAATCAGCTCCAAATTTCTGAGTGAAACCCTGAGCGACTAGTCGAGCTTTGTAGCGTTCGATATTCCCATCTTCGTCAGTCTTCACCTTGAAGACCCACTTGCTACCGACAGGATTGCGCCCCCTTGGCAATTCTACCAGATCCCACACTTCGTTTTCTTGTAGAGATTTCATCTCTGTTTCCATTGCCTTGACCCACTGTACTTTCTCTGGAGTACTCAGTACTTCCTCCACAGTGTGTGGCTCCTGTACACAACTTCCGGCAACATTTGCCTCCCAGCTGAAGTAATCCGGCATTTTTGTCAGCATTGAACGCACTGCTTCGACTAGGGTCCGGTTCATTCGCTCGGCAACACCGTTTTGCTCGGGTGTTTTTGGTACAGTGCGTTCGTGACGGATGCCTTCAGACTTCAAATAATCTTCGAACTTTGTAGACGTGTACTCTCCACTGTTGTCGGTACGAATCGCCTTGACCTTCCTCCCGCTTGACTTCTCCACGAGTGCTTTCCAACGTAGGAAACAGTCGAAGACTTCGTCCTTGTGCTTGAGGATGTAGATCCATGTGTAGTGGGTTCGATCATCGATGAAAGTGAGGAAATACTCTGCCCCACCCAACGAACGAGCGTTCATCTTCCCACAGACATCACTATGAACAAGATCCAGTGGTTCTGCTACTCGGTTTCTTTCGCTGGTCGGGAAAGCGGACTTTGTATGCTTGCCTCTTACGCACGTCTCGCAGAACTCTATATCCTTTGTGATGTTAAAATCGAGCCCCTCCACCAGGTTGTTTCGAGAAAGCTTTTGCAGACTTTGCACATTGAGATGTCCATAACGCTGGTGCCACAAAACTTCCTTTGATGCTTGTGCAACACTGGCATTCTGGTCGATTTCGCAGTCGAGATAGTAGAGACTTCCTACTCTAGTCGCTTTGGCAACTAACCTTCTCCCTGACCCCACAATCTGGCAACCACTGTCATCGAACTCGGTGACCTTTCCATTTTCAGCTGCTTTTGCAACACTGATAAGGTTGTACGACAGTGCTGGCACATAGAGCACGTCTTTGAGATTGCATCGTCGTGGTGAACTGTTTGGCAGTTTCATCTTCAGAGGGTACTGTCCCCATACCGATTGCTTCAAGAGTGTGTCCGTCTCCTAGTGACACCTCCATCGGTTTCTCGAGAGGTTGAAGATTCATAAACAACTTCTTGTTGCTACACATGTGACATGTAGCTCCCGAGTCAACAATCCAGTTTCCTGTCGATCCTGCCTGTAGTGCATGACTTACTAACATAGCGTCATCACTCTCTTTTCCCTTGGTCTGGTCAGCAGCTTTATTTGCCTTGGGTCGACGCTCCTTGCTACGAGTGGACTCTTCTTGCTTCAGAAGACGACAATCTCGCTTTAAATGACCAAGTTTCTTGCAGTGGTAGCACCTGATCTTCTTTGAGCGAGTGACCGGCATAGCTTTCGGGTGAGTACTCTCACTGTCTCCCCTGTCTTTCTGCTTTCTCTCTTCATTCAACAGACGTTCTGTAACAACCTCCATGGGGGGTACATCAGAGTTGGCTTCGAGGGCTGTGACAAGCATGTTGTAGGACTCCGGTAAGCTTGCTAGCAAATGCACAACACGGTCCTCCTCTTTTACAGGATCACCGATAACAGCAAGCTCCTCAAATATTTCTGTCATCTTACGGATGTGCTCTTGAACAGAATCTCCCTCTTTCAGCTTAAGATGCGCCCAAATTGCGTGGGCGTCGATATTTTAGTTATTTTTTTCAATAAAACGCTCGTGAATTATAGTGAATTTTGGTACCTGTCTCGGATTTTTCACTCCTTGTTTTACAAGCTCATTAGCATATTCATATTCCTCCTCCATACATTCTCTATGGGAGAGAAAACCAGTGCGCGACTTCACCGGGAGCGAACGGTTCCTCGCCATTATGCGCAGTAGCGTTCTTTCCGCCTCCTACGGTACGCGCAGGCGTATTAAAGGCAGTTTCAAAAATGGGTGTGGCCACGTTTTGAGTATTACGTATTCGTTGAACTTTGCCACGCAGGGGCTACGCCCATTTTTTCTTAATAGCTCTAATACGCTTCCGCGTACCGTAGGAAGCGGAGAAAACCACTGCGCATAGTAGAGACGGACGGTTCGCTCCCGGTGAAGTCGCGCACTGGTTTTCTCTCCCATAGAGAATGTATGGAGGAGGAATATGAATATGCTAATGAGCTTGTAAAACAAGGAGTGAAAAATCCGAGACAGGTACCAAAATTCACTGTAATTCACTAGCGTTTTAGCCATGCTATTGGAAAAAAATAACTAAAATATCGACGCCCACGCAATTTGGGCGAATCTTAAGGGGATACAGCCTCCTCCCAAGCTTGTTGGCCCACGTCTTCTTCTGGAATTGTTCTGACAGTTTCTTCCATACAGCGATTGGATCGTCAGGTTCACCGAGAAGATAGAGTAGCGATGGCTGAATGGACAGAACGATGAGAGCGAGAGCCCGATCTCTCCTTGCCTCAAACTTGGCGCGTCTGTCAGCGTTTCCTCCGTCTGGAATTGTCTCCGTGCCATTGACTATGTTCCACAGTCCATCCTTGACCAGTGCCATCCGGCACTGAACCTTCCAGGTGGGGTAATTCGACCCGCACAACGGGACAATCGCGACAGAATTCGACTCAGCCATAGATCCGAGGCTTAGCAGTCAAAAAGAAGCGTAGCTAGCTTGTTGGGCCTTATAGGCTGGGCCCATAACCTGTTGAAAATATTGATCAAACTCGATTCAATATCGATAGCAGCTACAGAGCAACGCACATGGAGAGAGAGATCACGTGATACAAAAGTAATATTGAAATCAATGGATAAATAGAATGTCCAGTTCTAGTACAGTTCTGGTGCGAGTGTGTTCTTTCCAACACCAAGGATAACGACTTTTGAGAATAGCCATTTTGTACGGAGAGTTTGCTCTAGACCACCTGCAAACGCCATTAGACACCTGAAACGAGGTGTCTATGAAAAATAAACCCCCCGCAATTCTGTAATCTGATTGGTCAATTGCGCATGACTGCGGGCTAATGAGTGTACAGTCCCTCACCTGGTTCCTGGGCTGGGTCTGAAGAGCTCGTACCAGTTCACGTTTGTTCCTCTTACTCCCTTCATCTCTAACACCAGCTCTGGCCTCCTCCAACAGACGAAGCACCTCACGAATACTCGGACGTTTGTGAGGACCGTTGTGCAGGCATTGCTGGATCAGCCGAATGAGAGGGTGGTCCCCACGGAGCTGGCCACAGGCACGGAGTTGCTCGTTCACGTATCGCATATATTGGCTTCGCCGTTGCACTTCAGTGCGAGCTACCACCAACCCAGTCTCGTCATTGAAATAAGTGGGCTCTTGAGGATCACAGGGGAAGACTTGACCGATTGTGAAAATGGTGACAACTCCAAGAGAGAATACATCGATGCTGGCATCGTATTTCGACTTTTCGGCAAAGACCTCTGGAGGCATGTAGACTAAGGCCCCAGGGCCCTTTGTCATGGTGGCTGCAGCTCTCACATGAGGAACGATACGAGCCACGCCCAGGTCCGCTATCTTGGCCACCATCTCCGAGTCCAGCAGAACGTTTCTGGCCGACAAGTCGCGGTGGATGACGGGCGGCAATCGCTCGTGCAGGTAGGCCGGGCCACACGCTACGTTGTGCAGTGCGGAGCACTTGAGATCCATGGAGAAGAAAGACAGCGGTGTGACGGCGCCGGGCGGAGGGGGCGGGTCCGGAGCCAGCAAGTCGTGAAGACTCGTCAGCAGTCGCTCCATGACGAGGGATGGGAGTCGCGAGCCGGGAAAGAAAGCGACGCCCAGAAACTGGACAATGTTCGGATGGTGGAGGGTGCTCATTAGCTGGCATTCCCTCAAGAACTCGGTCGCGGCCTTTGGCAGTTCAGTGGTCGTTGCATCACCTTCTTGCAAGAAGGCGTAGATTGTTTTCGCTGCGGCGCCCACAGGAACGACCACTTCTTCCACTTTGCCGTAGGCTCCGCCGCCGATTCTGGTTCCAGTGAGCTGGACGTCGGAGAGAACGAAGGGCCTCAGCCCTGGATGATCGCGGAGAAACTCTTCAGCCATTTTTGTGACCGTAAAAATACGAGCCCCACCCTAACATTGTGCGCATGCGCATTACACTTCTTGGAGCATGCTCGAAATGGCCCCACCCATTTTCCTTGAGCGTTTGTTGTGCAAGAGTCAGAAGAAGACACATACGGTAAGAAATCTCTTCCAATCCGTCGCCTGTTTTCACTGTCTTCCCTGAAAGGTCTTCTTAACGTACATTGCTTGTGTTTTTTCCCTGAAGTGACCGTTTCTGATCACCGCCGTCTGGGGACGTGGAACTTGGTGACCGTTTCGCTCTTTCTCGCGAGAGACTTCAAAATTCCGGGTCAAAGTAGCTGTAGCAGATCCTCGGCGGGAGTGAGTTTTGTCTTGGTGAGTTTAGACGTCTGGGTATTGGCGGAGGAGAGGCTTTAGTCCCTGTTCACTGTTTGTGTAGGCAACGTACATGTATTGTACATTTAGTCGTTTCTTCTCTCTGTCGTTATTTTCCCACTCTTCTTAACTTTCTCTTCCCTTCCCTGTTTAGCCTCTCAGTTTTTTTTGTCTTACTCTCCACTCCATTATTCCCTCCAACTTCCTTATTCTACCCTCTCACTTTTCTTGCTTGTTCCATTTGTCTTACACTTCCAAACCTCTCTTTCCTTCCCTCCTTCCCTCCCCTCTCCCCCTCCATCTCCTCCCTCCCTTCCCTCTCTCCCTCCTTCCCCTCCCCTCCCTCCCTCCCTCTCCTCCCTCCCTCCTCCGTAGACTGAAACCTACTACTGTGAGCGACCGGAAGGTCTCTGTCTGCACAAGGAGAAGTTGGACGTGAACTCCGAGGCTCCGTGGGAGCCAAGCTAGCACCAGCTAGTGGAGAACCGGAGAGACTCTTACCCTAGTACCATACTGTATTCTACTATAGTTTGTCCTCCAATCTACCACCCACTTCGCCATCACTTGACTTCAGTACACCAGATTGGGTGAGTTTTTCCCCAGCTTTTTCAAAGTTTGTTTTGTTCAGAGATTTGTCTGTATCTCGGCGGGGTTAGTATCTGGTTTATTCGCTAATTGTATTTCGGAAGGCTCGGTCTCATATCAATGGTGTAGCAATTACGTAATGACTTCCACATTTCAGGGGGTGTGGCTTCATTACGCACACCCCCTGAAATGTGGAAGTCATTACGTAATTGCTACTAAATTTAGCTGTTTGAGCAGGAAAACTGGCCATACACCATTGATATTTCAACCTCACCTTCCTCATACAACTCTGAATAGCTTGCAACCACTGTGTGGTCTGAGCCATTCCCGAATTATTAATGGTTTACCTGCTCGTGCGTTTGAATTAGGCTCTTCTTTTTATGTGAATTTTGAAATTTCTCTACAACTCTCTCTCTCTCTCTCTCTCTCTCTCGCCTAACTCGCTCTGCGTTCTCGTACTATGTAGTAGGGAGTGATACCCATGTACCACTGTTGCCGCCCTGCCCGAGTCTGCATCGACTCTAATAGACTCATTCCGTGAGATGTGCAACGGAGTATTTTAACCCCTTTGTGGCCAGCTTGTAGTGCGTCTCCCGCATAAATAGCCCGCAAGCGCCTAGTGTGTGCTTGATGAACAGTCGGCTATTTTGGGCCCTCTCCCTACCGCACCTATGTAAACACTTTTATCCTACAATACTAGTCTGGGGCTGTATAGGGCTTGGGCGGTAGCTATACCATGTGTTAACTATTTGGTAGCTATTGTACTTGGGTAGTATGTATGTGCACTGACTGCACTGATCAACTATGTGGTTGTAGAAGGCACTTATAAAGGAGTGTAGACAGACTGATGTGTAGTTCATGACGGCTGAGGTGACAATGGATAAATGGCTGTGGCTAGCACAACTGCAGCATTTCAATGCAAGTCTTGGTGCAGCCTTTGGTCTGCGCAGTCTTTACTGCATTTCCGAGGCTGTGTTGAGGTGTGGCAGGCTGGATACATTTCCATCTTTTGGTCGTTTAGTAGCTCAGCGCTGCACTTTCAGCTGTCTTGCAGTACTATATATAGTGTTAGCAGTTCATTTTCTGTTTGAAAACTAAGCTCTTCCTCCATTTTCTTTTTTTTTCAGTATTCATCAATCGTTATACGCCGTGGGACTCTGTTTAGGCATAAATTTAGGAGAAGAATAATACGCATCCAGAAAATAGCTTTTTCGAGAGAAATTGAATTTGTCGTCACTTTTCGTCTGTCCTACATCGTCAACTCGTCCAGATCTCAAAACGATGTCGCTGGCTCTGAAGTCTGGTGACCGTGTCCCCGTGGTGACGGTTGCCACGGGGACCACTCTGGGAGCCCAGGTTCAGTCTCAGGTCTCGTCGACTGGAAGAGAAGTGAGTTTCTGTTTGTGTTTTTTTGCAGAATTTTTGCTCAGTTTGGTGGAAAACTACGCAGCATAAAGTAAAATTCGACAGCTTTTGCTTTCCTAGAATTGTGTGTAAAGCGTATGTGGTCTGTGATGATCTCTGTGTGATAATTCTTCCACAGCAGCATATTACCGTGTTGATTTGCACCGTAAGAGGGCTGCCAACTGCGTTAGGGCCGATTAGCACGGAAATTTAAAGTCGTTAACTTGCAAAAAAGTAACGGGTTTGAGAAATTATCTTCAAAAGCCATCGGTCCCTTTTGATGGTAATGTAGTTTTATTCGGTGAAAAGAGTTAAGAGAGCCGAGCTCTCCTGCTGTTGCTTCTTCATTATTACAACCGGTATTGGGATTATGTCATAGATTATTTGAGTAGTACAGTACGTAAGTGAAAACTGGGTGACATCATAATGAGGTAATATAGTTCCAGGGTTATGTGAATAAAGAACCAGATGCTGTCCTTGGTGTAGTTGACTTTTTTTGACTTTTGCTTACCTTTGCCTTGCTATATACAGTACCTTGTAGTTGACACATTACATAATCGTGAAAGAGTACACATGGGTTTTCGTTTATTGTGCAACCTCTACAGGACAGGGAGGACCCGTTCTACCTGGTTGACTTGGGAAGACTGGTGGAGCTGCACCAGCTGTGGAGCGCTGCGTTGCCGGGCGTTCACCCGTTCTACGCCGTCAAGTGCAACAACGACCCAGTGTTGATGCAGACACTGGCCGCTCTGGGGTGTGGCTTCGACTGTGCCAGCAAGGTGACACACGTCTCTCTCTCTCTCTCTCTCTCTCTCCTCTCTCTCTCTCTTCTCTCTCATCCCATCAAAATAGGCCGAAAGTAGGATTTTTGGGGGGTAGGCCACCGTGTACCTCTTCCTTACTGCACATTGTAAAAGTTGAGGGAGAGGAGGATGTTTTATGCTGTTTTCAAAGTTAGCAAAAGAACGTGGAAGCACACACAATACTACGTGCTTAGAAGCATGTGTGGAAAAAAAGAGTGTTGGCGTTTTTTTCTGAGCTTTTCTCTGGCTGCGAACCGTTTTTTCCTTCGTCAGTCACACTTGGTTTTTTTACGTGTTTTAACTCTTGTGTATTACCCTCAGGCTGAAATCAAGAGTGTACTTGACCTGGGTGTGTGCCCCGAGAGAATCATCTACGCCAATCCTTGCAAACAGGCGTCTCATCTAAAGTACGCCTGCAAAAGGGCGTGGCCACCATGACCTTTGACAACGAGGTCGAACTCTACAAGGTGCGTCCCTTTATGCTGTCCTTCCCCCCTCCTCCTCCTCTCCTCCTCCTCCTCCTCCTCCTCCATATGTGTTATTCCTTGCTTCTTTACTTCATCCCCCCTATTTACATGTTCCCTCCATCTCTGGTACTCTCTCTTATGTATATATTTTACTCTCTCCCCCTTTTTTTACATTTTCTCTTCGTTATTTCCGCAATGATGAAGATAAAACAGACACTATGATTTAAACATTGTGACTATCATTTCAGTCTGCCATCCCTATTCTGAGCCAAGAGTTGATGATGTTCGTCCAAAATTTTCGAATCACCAGTCTCAAAATAAAAGTGATGTACATACGTCGTCTTTTTGTTAGGTGAAGACGCATTACCCGACTGCTCGTTTGGTGCTGCGTATCCGTGCCGACGACCCCAGTGCCCTCTGTCAGCTGGGGGTCAAGTTTGGGTGTACGGTGGACGAGGGGAAGAAGTTGCTGCTGCGAGCGAGAGATATGGAGCTCTGTGTGGTGGGGATTAGGTAAGGGGAGACCGAGATTGACGTACAAGCTTCGTACCTATGGAAGGACGTGGTAGGCACTTCAGATAACAAGTTCCATACCTATTCCCTCAGCCAAGAGAGCATCTAGTATATATACTGTAGCTTTTGATGTGGAACGTTGCCTTGGCATCACATCTGTGGTGTCTGAACTGCTCCTGTAGCAATGAGGCCTCGCCCTACCTAAGTCAGTGTGTTACTCCGCTCCCTCCCTCCCCTCCCCTCCCTCCCCCCTCCCTCCCCTCCCTCTCTCCCCCAGTTTCCATGTCGGCAGCAACTCCAAGAACCCGCAGGTGTTCCCGGCGGCTCTCGAGATGTCTCACCAACTCTTCGTCTTCGGAGAGTCACTCGGTTTCAGTTTCAACATCCTCTGACATCGGGGGAGGATTTCCAGGTCTGCTGCTGTCTGCCTCCCGATGTTGGGTTAATGTTTTCTTTTGGCCGCCTATTGCACCATAAACATCACTAGCACAAACATCCTCCGACAAAAGTATGCAATGGTTGACGGAAAAGCAGTGAGGTGTCTGAGACAGCAATTGTGCCCAGTGCCAGCATGCAATTCTAAATTCTTCCCATATACTGCCACATTCCGTTTGAGCCTGAAGCCCCTTTAATATAGTACACATGGAAGAGCTACACCTAAAGTAGTGGCTTTAGTACTAATTCCAATTGATGCACACCTTTCCCCCCTATTAATGCAGGCACCTAACTCCAATTGATGCACACCTTTCCCCCTATTAACGCAGGCACCAGGGATTCAGAGGGTTTCTTCACGCACCTGACGGACGTCCTGAAAGAGGGATTAGGGCGGTATTTTTCAGGTCGTCCTGAACTCAAGATCATTGCCGAACCAGGTATATACAGTACCAAAAGTTTTATACCTTGAAAATGTTGTCGATAAGGGAAGGAAGGAGGGAGGTGTGGGTGATAGTGTTGGGAGTGGCCATGATGATGATTGACTTGCCCTCAATGATGTCATTATGACACAGTGATTATCGTCTTGTTACACACTCTGAGCCGCTCAACTGCACTAAAAAAACTTTACGGACCCCACACATTTTTTACGGGTAGACCATAGAAATTTTGAGGTACTGCGTTAAAATTTATTTCATGACAGGTCGTTTCTTTGCCTGCTCCACTCACACCCTCGCGGTCAATATCATCAGCAAGCGAGAGGTTTCCGTGACGACGCCAAACCAGGAGACCACACCCACTTTCATGTACTTTGTGAACGACGGAGTGTACGGGTCGTTCAACTGTATCTTGTACGATCACATCACCCCTACCCCTTTCGTTGTCAAGGTAATTATATACAATAGCATGTTGTGCAGTAACAATCGGATGTGAGGTGTACATATACATCATAATGTTTTCGTTTGCGAGGAGAAACCCCTTGTTGCTTCGTTTAAAATTACTTTTGAGTAAATCAATATATAAGTTATGCCAGCTTCACTGTTGAAGAATAGGGTTTTTTTCCTCTCTTACCTTCCTCCCCTCTCTCTCTCTCTCTCTCTCCTCTCCTCTTCCCTTTCCTCCCTCCTCTCTTTCTCTTGCCTCCTGGCCACACCAGTCTCCTCCAGCAGGAGCTACGGTTCATGCGTCCAGTTTGTGGGGTCCAACATGTGACGGACTGGACAAGATATGTGATTCCTCACTCCCCCTACTGCAGGTTGGTAACTTACCATAATTATTATACACTCGATAAATTATATCCCACTGGGCGTTGGCGTCTTGACAAGGATATTGCAGGTTGTTAACTTACCATATTATACACTCGATAAATTATATCCCACTGGGTGTGGGCGTCTTGACAAGGATTGCAGAGACCCTGGCATTTAGACCGTCTGCATATACTTCTTGTGCATTAAATTTGCGGAACTATTTTTACACTGAACAAAGTCACGTTCAAACTGTAAAGTTTTGTTTTCCTACGATGCCTAGGGTATATATACATAGGTGTTTTTTCTCTGAAATGAGTGTTAAATGATATGCACTTTTTACACGGACTCTGCCTTCAACCTGGTATATAGTGTAAATGTTTCTTTGCTCTCTTCCTCTCTTCCTCTTCTGTCTCTATCAAGGTTGGAGATTGGCTCTATTTCCCTGACATGGGTGCGTACACCGTCTCGGCCGCGTCAAACTTCAACGGGTTCACCAAGCCCATGACTTACTACGCTGTCTCCGAAGACCTGAGGTGAAGCAGTACTGACAGGCATAGGGTGATTTAGAGCCCACTCGAACCTAATATCTTCGACCTCATGGAAGTTCTAAAGGCCCTCGGTGCATTTTGTATTTCGCGACTGTTGTGTGAAGTTGAGTGGGCTTTCTAAAGGCCCTCGGTGCATTTGTATTTCGCGACTGTTGTGTGAAGTTGAGTGGGCTTTCTAAAAGTGAGGAGAGAATGACAACCTGTGGAAGTAGGGCGGTGAGAGAGGGAGAGAGAGAGAGTGTCTAAAGAGGGAGAGATGAGATCGAGAGATAGAAGTGAGAGGTCTAGATGGAGAGATAGGAGAGTGTATAGAGGGAGTAGAGGATAGTGGAGACAAGTGGCGATGAAGATAAAGATGACTTGCCCTCTATGACCAAGTCTGTGATTCTACATTCCATCCTCCATCCCTATATCTGAGCCACACTGCCTCTAACCCACCCTCTCCATTTAGTGCCCCCCCTTCACATGAGCACGAAACCGGCAAGAAAGGGAGAATATTCAAGAGCGTCCTCATCTGGAAAATTGAGTGGCCCCTTGTTAATTCTAGTGCCCTGTAAAGAATCTATAATGAGACATTTTCTATTTACTTCCTCCCTCCCCCTCTTCTCTCTCTCTCTCTCTCTCCCTCCCCCTCTTCTCTCTCTCTCTCTCTCTCTCTACATTGCTCGAAGCAATTGAGCAATTGTTCACTGCGCTGATTAATCTCGTTCTACGTGCACATGCATACCTGCCTGAGTATGTTACTGGAGGTGCAGTATATATGTTTGAGTCTGCTCATGATTTAGACAGGCTCTCTGGAAATTTTCCCACTGCAGGCAGCGGTTTCTCACTGTATGGAACAGTGAACTTGACTCTGGTGCACATTTTCGTCTTCCTCCCCCTCCCCCACTCCACCGAGACAACGTCGACGACGACGATCCCCAGTTGCCCCTGGCAACAACCGATCGTCCTGGTTGTTGTGACAACCTGGCTGCCCCACCCCAAGAACTCGTGCCTGTATTTTGAATATATATAATTATATATATATACCATTTGGCGAAAACTGATTTGATTATGCATTATATGACGTCCTGGTCACTATTTTTATTTTCCAATTATTATGTACCTGCAGTTGAAAAACTTTTTTCTTGCATATACAATTATGAACTGTTGTGTTTCCATGGGGATAAAGAATATCAAAAATGTCATTATTAAGATCATGATCATCCTTTGACCTAGGTTATTAGTCAGGAATGCTGAACTGGCCAACAATGTATCAGTTGTAGTTGGCAATCACACGATTTGTGCCGCTGCTAATTGGCTATATTATTATAGCACTACCTTGGAGCATGTCTTAGCTCATGGTAATTGCACACCAGTGTGGAGCATGTCTTAGCATGGTAATTGCACACCCCACAAAATGGACAGCACTAAAATCACATTAGTAGAAAGATTGCTCATTACATCGTATTCTGCACACACAAAGGTTTAAATGATGACCCACATGAACTAAAAAGCATTCACAAGTGACGATGACAATAAATTGAGACAATAAATGGATGGAAAATGTTAATAAAAGTATAAAAATTACCGGATGAATTTGGCATTGATTACAGGAGGGACAAACAAAGCATTTTTAATGAAAATTTTGCTTTGACGAAGTGAAAATGTGCATAAAATGACTGCTATTTCTACGCTACAGACTGTTCCCGTAGCAACCTAAGTTTCTCCACCTCTCGCTGCCAGGCGGGGAGGGGCTTGTTGCTAAGGTGACGCTTGGCGTGTTTTGCGAGGTGGTCGCTCCTCATGAACCGGTGATCGCACAACGGACACACGTACTTCTTCTCGCCCGTGTGGGTCCGGCGGTGCCGCGCCAGTTCGTCGGAGCGTGCAAAAGCAGCGGTCGCAATCCTTCCACTCACAATTATAGGGTCGCTCGCCGGTGTGTATTCGAACGTGTGCCTTTAGATGAGAGCTCTTGATGTACGTCTTTGCACAGTGGGGACACGGAAACGGTCTCCGGCGGTCTTCCTCCTCTTCTGCAGTGTTCGTAGCTGCGGGATTAGTCGGGCTACAAGTGGGTGTGGTCTGGGGCGAAGTTTCCATAGGAATAGCGGTTGCGGGTGGAGTTACCGGCACCGGGGAGGTGTTTTCCGCAGTGGTGTCATCGTTGATCGGCGACGATGTCGTTGTTGCCGTGGTTTCACCGTTTGGCGGGGTCGTTAGTACGGGGACGATGGGGATCTGATTGGTACGCAGGAGGTGAGATATCATCTGTTGGTTCGACTGTGTTAGTAGTACAACTCGACCAGGTGGGAGAAAAGATCCATTGAAGCTCATTGGTGGCTGGCTGTAGGCGTTGTTTACTGACTGAATGAATTTGGGGATCATCTCACTTGGAATAACAGGCTGTGGGGAGAGGAGGAGGAGGGGTACGGTTAGTGAGTTGAACTGGTAAAGGATGGGAGGTAAAGAGGGAGGGAGAGGGGCAAACTAAAGGAGAAAGAGAATGGAAGTGACCTTTCAGGAACTAAAGGTGTACAGGGTACACACGTATTTGCACACACGAAGGCTATCCTGTGGCCGACAAAGGCCACATTAGTGCAGTATTACAGCTCTCCTACATAGGGATTCGGTCCGTGCACATGCACTGAACGTGCTCGCGGCAAAACAGCGGCAGAAAGGTCACGGAAATGCGGTGACGCAATACTTGTTACGTAACGCAACAATGAAAAAGGTCAGCGAGATTCCCTTTTTAGTCACTGGACGTAAACAAAGTCGATTCCCCGTTTCTCGCGCCTCGTTCCCTCCTTTTACACACCCCACGAGCACAGAGGAAGGTAGAGAGAGAGAGAGAGAGAGAGAGAGGAGAGAGAGCGACTTACAATGCTAGGCGGGGAATATGAGGGCTGGGGGTAGCTGTTGACGACGTGTCCGTCCGGACCGAGTGTGTAGCCGCCGAATGGCGGCGGTAGGGAAAGCGGCGGTGGGGAATAATGCGTAGCCGACGAAGGCGGTTGAAACGCCGGGCGAACGGACGATGGCTGAGGTGTAGCGGTAGCGTCCTGACGTACCGGCGAAGCCCCGGGAGCTACGCTGCGTTCGCTGGAGGTGGACGGAGCGGGCGAAGGAGGCCGCCACTGACACTCCATTCTGGCACTGCCGCTAGCGCCACAGGAACCTCGGAGACTCAGCAACGATTCCACGGCTGTTGAAGTTCGCAGATCCAGCGACGATGAGGAATCCTGCAACAAAACAAAAAGCGATACGATTTTAGCTAAGGTGGTAGAAGGTGAACGTTTTTCTAACACTTACTGATCTAGGAGAGGGGGGATCGCAGGTTTCTGATGTAGACGGCGAGTGTGGGGAGTAGGGAGGACTCAAATCGGCCATAATCCGAACTGAAAAAGACGGCAGAGCTGTTTTCTTTGCAAAACCACGCGTCACTGCACGCACACGATACTGCTTTTCTCCAAAACGGTTTTCCTCTTACATTAGTACGGAAAGAGAGGTTTATGTGCGAGTATGCATGTTTTGTTGCATCTTGCACGTTCTCTACACGTGCCTCGTTTGTGTGTGTGTCTAGCGAAAGGTCAAAACATGCTCTTCACGTGTTGCGGAGTCAGCAGCGCCCAGATTTCGCCCATCGCACACCCACGACCCACCCACCCGGTACCCATAATTATTATTCGTCCGCGTTATTGCGCATGCGCACAGGGTTTTGCACGCGTAATTATTTACCGTGGAAAAATGTATAGTTGTCACTGTTTTTCAGCAATGTTTTCAAAGATCTGAAAGAAAGGGGTTTTAACTTGATGCCTACACACAAGACATGAACTTACTGCTGGCTGGTTGAAACACTGAACAAGGTAGCATGTGAGGTCGTCGTGACAACCACCAATCAGATGCTCGACGTGTTTCAATTTCTCGGTTTGGACTTGCTTGGCAAACGACCCACAATGACGGGCAGAATATATCTGCAACTGCCTGCATGGAAGTAATATAATTATGTCTGTCACAAACATTTTCCTTTTTAGGTCACTTAATCCAACAATTTATTACGTAATACCTTGCCCAAATAAGGCAGCAGCAGGACGACATATGAAAAAGCACCCGAAGCAATTCTTCGTGCTGTTTCCATGGCAACCGAATGAGGTCACTGAGGAATTCCTCCACTGGTAACTGTCTCCCTAGCAACCTTGTGGATGTTTCAATCTCGCGAGAGTGTTCCAGTTTCTCATTTCCATTTGTCCATTTGAAGTACGGTCGAAATAGAGTCACGGAGTTACCAAGAATAGCGGCAAACTTTTCAGTTTCAACTTGGATAGAAGTCTGAGCACTTTCACTATTGAAATCAGTAGCACCTCTGTTACTAAATTTAGGTTTCACGGTGTGTGACGTCACATCAGTGTTGCTAAAAATAGATTTGGTCGAGAGCGTAGTGTAGGCGTGGGCTAGCTCTAGCCATGTGGTGGTGTTGTAACGTTGAAAGAGGTTGCAGTTTTGTAGGCAGAGAATGTAATCTTGAGGAAGAGCAGGTGGGAGGGAGTGAAAGAGTGAAGGAGAGAGAAAAAGGGAGGGGATTTGGGAAGAAAAAATAAAGGATTAAGACTGAGGCTCCACTGTAACTACACCTTCAAATCTGTCTTCGCCGAGACCTTTGTAGCAGAGAGCCAGGAGATGCCACGACGACGCATCGTTGCCGTGGGGCGGAGCTACGAGTTCCTCGGCACGGCCGAGGGCATTGCGAAACTCCCCGCGACCCAGATAACACCTGGTGAGGGAATCTTTGACCTCTCTGTGGACAACTCTATTGCTGGGTGGCAGGACCTGAAGTGTAGCAGACACAAATGATCTTCCCCATGCAAGCGTATATTGGCGGCAAGTGTGTGTGTTGTATCTAGGCAACCGAGAAATCTGTCATACTTTGATGATTCTGAGATAGAGGGAGGTGGCTGTGTCTAGCAGTTGCCGACGGTAACAGAGATCTGCCCTGTACTTGAGGATCACGTGAGCCTCTTCCTTCAAACCGTCTAGATGAACCTCACTGAACCACTGTGTGGTGGACCGTTGGAATCACACGTACAACTGCGCATGCGCACGGGGTGTACCTCATGAGGGCAGTTCTTCGGGACGTAGACCGGCTCAGCGGTCTTCTTTCTCTCTTCCCGCCTTGCCCTCTCTCCTCTCTCGTCCCCAGACCCCGCGTCAGACACCTCCTCGTCTCCAGAGAGCGAGAGAAACAGGGAGTCGTCGAACTCCATCACCGACCGCTTCGCGCATGCGTGAACTATTGCGGTCTTTTGCCTTTTGCGCATGCGTGTCACGAAACTCGGCGTATAGTATATACCATAATAATTATGTATCATCATGTATAATGTAATGTCCCTGTGAGTGGGTGGGTTGCTATTAGGCATCAGTAGATTTGAAATGATTGTCGTCAGTGGTGGAATAGATGTGTCCCTCGTTGCATAGGAACTCTACTGCCTCTCTGTGGAAAGAAGGGGAACAGAAAGAAGAGGTGCAGAGAACAAGGAGACAAGAGGGCGTAAAGGGAATGAAAATTGTCAGAATGTATATACCTGATGCCCTTGGGAGGGTGACCATGTGAGCCAACGTTGGAGATGATGATGTTGATGTTGACTCCATCATCGTCAATACAGCTGGATATGGAATTCAACACCTGCCAACAGAGAACGTACATTGTTAAGTTTTTTGAAGGGTTGCACTACATATAATATTAATAGAAAATGTGTATGCATTGTATTATAGTGGTATGCATGTATCAAGCATAATTAGTGCTAGTGGCAAATCCTGGACCTGCTGTTGAAGTCTGTTCAAACCACTATCAGTCTGTCGACCACCGCCGTACCCCGCTCCCCTGTTCTGTGTACTGGTTGCCATTGGCGACCCCCAAGCCCCGCCCATTCCTCCGCCCCCTGCATCCATGGAATGTTGCAGCTTCTTTTGCACGGCCAACTGCTGGTACTGGGGAGGCTGAGGGGAAGGGTGTGAGAGAGGGAAAAAGGAACAAACGAACAACTTAACAAAATGCAGTGCAAGCATACTATAAACACTCTCTCATTGAAATAAGAAAACTTGTTTTTCAAGTGAGGGTATAAACTGAAGAAACCCATGTCACTTTACTGAAAACCTTCGTGCACATGCAAAAGTGCAGGAAGCATGTATCCAGCACATTCAGAAAAGTGAAATGCAGGAAGAATTTTTAAATGTGTAGGAAGAATTTTATAATAATATTGTTCACAAACAAGACATCACCGTCCAGTAGAAAGAGGCTTTAGAACGCACATAAAGATGCAGTGACAATTAATGATGCAATTCCTCCTGCTGAACTGCTCCCCGAAACTTTTCTCAGCAAAAAGTGTCAAACATTTAACATTTGTATCAGGCCACACCCCCCAGAAGAAGCCTACCAGTGGAGGGCTCTTAGTAGACGCCAGATGGCAGTGCCAAATATTAACATTTTTAACAGGCCACACCCCCCAGAAGAAGCCTACCAGTGGAGGGCTCTTAGTAGACGCCAGATGGCAGTGTTAAATATTAACATTTTTAACAGGCCACGCCCCCCAGAAGAAGCCTACCAGTGGAGGGCTCTTAGTAGACGCCAGATGGCAGTGCCAAATATTAACATTTTTAACAGGCCACACCCCCCAGAAAAAGCCTACCAGTGGAGGGCTCTTAGTAGACGCCAGATGGCAGTACATGACCTCAGCCAGGTGATGTGTGACCTCATTATAGTCCTCAACTGGTCTGATCTTGAATGCCACAATGTTTCGAAGCTTGTTGAACTGCTTAAGGTGACCTATGACCTTTACGTACATGCCCTCTCGACAGGACGCCCTCTCGTGTTGGTCGGACAGATCCTGGGAATGGGGGGAGGGAGGGAGAAGAGAGAGAGTGAAGGAGAAGGAAGGAGAACGGAGAGAGTGAAGGAGAAGGAAGGAGAAGGGAGAGAGGGAGAGAAGGGAAAGAGGGAGAGAGAAGGGAGAGAGTGAGAAGGGAGAGAGGGAGGGAGAAATGGTAAAGGAAGGAGGCAAGCAAAGGAAAATTAATCTCACAATGTAGTGCATTCTCTAAGTTTTAGCCATTAATTTGTGTTAACGCTTTGTGGGAAAAATGTAAAAATGTTGCCAAATGGTGCACTTTTATCAATATGTAAATCCTCTTTCGACCTTCCTCCTAACCTGCTCGTCCATCCATCTCTTGACGTCAATCCAAGGGCCTGTCCTGTCGTCAATCTTGTACGTCACGTTCGACGCGGCCTCAGAAACCTCCATTATCTCGCCAACTATCACCACCTACAGCAGACGATGAGTCATAATGTCGTTTGCTTTTCTAACACTGATTTTCATACGATTATTTCCAAATTTCTCGTTCCACACTCTCGTATTTCCGCCTATCTCATTCCAAACTTTTGGATTTCTCCGCATCTCGCTCCAAAAAGGTGAAAGAGACAAAAGCTCGGAGAGAGATAGCGGGGAAAAGGTATATAAAAGAGTGGAGTGGGATGAGGCAAATTTTCCTCACAATATAGGCAAAAGGTCGGAGCAGGCAGAAAGACTAAATGTTGCAGTAAAAAGATACTAAAATGCAAAAATATAAACCGGTATATACAGACCTGGCTGACTTCTCTTTCGTTGATCTTAAACTTGTCTCCCGCCTCCCCGGCAACCTGGATCTGAGCAGAGGTCACTGGGGTCAACTCGTGACTCCGCCCACTTGTCTGAGTGAGTGGCGAAATACAGTGTTATGATATACGAAAACTCTGACCACATTCGCACATCATAGCAACTGGCAACCGCATATGGATTGGTCTATATACAAGTCTGAAAACAGTGTATATAAGTGTTTAATACAATTTCAAAAAAGCTCGTGATATCACGAAATTAATGTAACTCACTCTCTGACCGGAGGGGGACTGGCCCGTACCAGGCGACGATGTAAACCCCTGTGAACCACTCATATATCCACCTCCACCGGCAGCACCATAATCCCCATAACCTCCCCCTCCACTACCACCAAATCCCCCTCCATACCCTCCTCCTCTAGTTCCCCCACCCCCTCCGTAATTTGAACCACCTCCATAACCCCCTCTGCCACCATAAGTGTCCACCGACTGCAGGAGAGAAATGCAAGAAAATGGATTGCGGGGTTCTGTAAATAGACAAGAGTGTCTTAGTCAACGTACCTGATATCCGCCTCCTGTACATGCACAGAGTCGTTATCGCGGCAGGAGAATGGGCGGGAGGGGAGGGATAGAAATGCAGAGTAAGGTGCGCAGTATTTAGAACGCGCAGCTAAGATTTGCCAAAAGCCTGAACATGCACACACACGCGCGATATTGAGTACAAGTTCCGTCACTGTAGTAGCTGCTGGTTACCTCTAAAGTTCATTTCAGAGAGCAGCGCTGAGAGAAAAAACGCGTCACTGGCGCACACACACACACCCCGAAAAATTACCCTCCAATTTGGCGCTTAAACTGCAGCGGCTCTGGGCATGCGCAGTGTGTCACCCACGTGGTGCGCCGAAAAACAATAAAACACAGCGAAACCCACAAAACCAAACGTTTTCAAAAAGATTTTAGTGTCGCAATTTTCAATCCGTGACTCGACTTGCTAGTCTCGGCAGGTGCTAAGCGGCAGGCTTCGTGGTATTTCGCGCCTTTGGCAACTCGAGAATTCCTCGGCTCAGTTTTGCGTGCTTCCAGAGTCAGACCCTGCCCCCCTACATTGGTCAGATGCCGCCCAGGAGAACCACTACCAAAACTACTACAAGTGCTACTAGTAGTAGTACACGCGCTCCTCCACGCGGGAAGACCACGCGCGCGGCTCTACAAGCCAAGCAGCTCGAGGAAGGGAACGGAGGAGAAACGACGAGCCCAGAGGAGAGAAAGGTAGAAAGAGAAGGCTCCTCGTCCAGCAGTGTGGCCGTCATCAGGGACAAGGGGACGAGAAGAAACAAGTCTCCCGCCGACTCCAGCGATTCGGACAAGCCCACAGCCTCTGGTGTGGTGAAAAAGCGCTCCAGAGCCCGCGCAAAGCCAGCCGAGGCAACTAGAACGACGGACGAGAAAGGTAGTGCTAAGGAAGGGAAGAAACGCGGCGCGAGAACCGGGAAACAGACCCGAGGAGCTGCGTCAACGGCAACCAAGAAGACCAAGATGGCGGACAGGGCGGGGAGAAAGAGACGAAAGGGAGACTCTGCTCCAGCCGCTGCTACCGCGGATAGCAAAGGTGTATAATAATGTGCGTATGTATGTGGGTGGAAGCTGTTCTGTTTGCTAGCTGAGATGTAGCTCACCTGTCCTACATACTTTGCAATATCAAGTGTTTGGCTAGTAACATGTACAGATATTATTTCCTCGCTCCAGATCTAATGGGTTCAGAGGTCAACGACAGAGCCCTGCCTCCACTGAAGAAGAGGCGAGATGATGACACAAACACGGACGAATCAGTTGAAGGTAGACAGCTCTAGAACACCAGATTTCCCCGAGCGGTCTTCACCGCTTTCGTGTGTATAATTATTATAACAACAGCTCAGACTTGACTTTAAAAACAGTGTCACAATATTGTGCGCTCCTATAATTATAGCCTGCAAATTGCCACCAAATTGACAAATTTTACACTATGCCTTCAATGTTTGTGTGTATATACATGTTTTTGTTGTCGTCAACTTATTCATTACGTTTGTCTTGTGTTAGAAACTGATCGAGTGGTGGTCGCTCCGCCCCCTTCCAACGTTACCAAGGAGACCAAAAAACGTCCCAAGAAAACAGTGAGAATAGCCGATAGTGATCCAGTGGTTGCCATGGAAACCGACACAATCGTCTCGCATCACTCCCACTCCACAGTACATGGGCAGGTGAGTGTATTGTACATACACTGTATGCTTGGCAAGTGAACTCGAACTAATTTACTACTTGTAGTTTTGTTAACATTACGGTAAGTGCAATGTGGGGACACACAAACGTCCGCATCTTCAACCAATCGTAGTCAGTCGACAAGACCCTCTAGTACTAGAGTTGAACCTCCGAACAAGGGACACTATGGGACCATCGATTTTTTTCACTTGTAGAGTGGTCGGCCCTATCTCGGAGGTAAAATAATACACTAAAGTATTAGAATGGGGTTAAAACAAGTGTCCAGGTCATCGGAGGGTCATCGGAGGTTCTACTGTAATTGAGTCTACTATTACTAGGGGCTATGATTAATTGCTAAAGTGTAAGGGCTGCATCTCCCTCCCCTACACTAGGTGTTTGTGATGGGACAGGGAGACACAGGACAGCTGGGCCTCGGGGAAGACATGGTGGAGAGGAAGAAGCCACACCCAGTGGGCGGAGCTCTGGAGGGCCTGAGGGTGTGCCAGGTTGAGTGTGGAGGTATGCACACTGTGGCTCTCACTGGCGAAGGAAAGGTAAGTTATACACATTTTATATGTAGTATATAGACTTGCATGATATCACAGTCCCTAACGCACCCCTACTACACACAGGTGAAACCTTGGTCCCACGGTATTGAGTTCCTGTTTTAAAACCCTTTGGACGCCATGGGGATCTGCTTAATTAAGCAGAAATTGGTGTATAAAGTAGTATTATAACCCCCTTATAAATTCTTATGGACTTATTTATGGAGGTTCTGGACACGTTCATGTGTCGGTGGCTGGTTAAGTGTTAAGAGAGAAAGTTTGTGAATTTCATGATTTTTTTGCTCCAAATTCTGCTAGGGAGTTCCTGCTACATGTACTGAATAAGAGTTGAGAGTTGACAAAATGTTAGCAAATTTCTTTTCTTCCGCCAGGTGTTCACGTGGGGATGCAACGACGAAGGAGCATTAGGTCGTCCCACAAACAGCGAGGCCGAGGCGTTCACTCCCGGACTCGTCGACAGGCTGAAAGGGGTTAAAATTGTCCAGGTATCCGCGGGAGACAGTCACACTGCGGCACTCTCTGAAGCTGGCACCGTCTACGGCTGGGGAATATTCAGAGTGAGTGTAGTGGGCGGGGCCTGTTGCTAGGGAAACCGGTAGTTGAATTACCTCTGTTCCTGGTAGCTGTGAATTAGGCTAGAACAACGTTGTTATACAGTTCCTATTTTTCTGTTCGATTGCTCGTGGATTTTTTTAACTTCAATTACTCATGGATTAATTGTGCTGTTTTTCCCTATTGCCCATCCCATCTTTCTCCCTCTCCTCGTTACTCAGGACAACAACGGGGCATTTGGGTTCCTACCTCCTCCCTCTCCCCCCACTCCCTCACCGTCTCCACACATCATATATTCCGCTCCCAACAAGGCTCTCAAGATCACTTCTGGTATAATCGCAGCTACACACACACACACACACACAACAACAACAACAACAACTGCACAGTAGGAAACGTTTGGAAGAGAAAAGTTCGCTATTTTCGCAATACCAAGTGTTTAATCTGTTCGTTTGAGGTCTTTTAAAAACTTTTAAAATTCTCAGAAGGTTGTGAAAGTTTTCGATCTTTACGTTGTAGTCTGTTGTTCCTTTTTCCTTTGTAAATACGTTCCACAAACTATGTACTCCGTTACTCTTATTTCGTCCTCCCTCTCCTCCATTTCCTCCTTCCCTTCCTCCCTCTCCCTCCTCCCTCTCCTCCATTCCTCCTTCCCTTCCTCCCTCCTCCCTCTCCCTCCTCCCTCTCCTCCTCCCTCTCCTCCATTCCTCCTTCCTCCCTCCTATCGCTGACAGGCTGCGACCACATGGCGATAGTCACCGAACACGGTGACATCTATACCGTGGGTCGGGCGGAGCAAGGTCAGCTGGGTCGCATTGCCGAGTGTTTCAGCTCTCGTGGCGGCCGCAAGGGTATCTCCCTCCTCCTGAAACCGGACGTCGTGAGAGTGCGAGTCAAGAGAAAAGCCGACAAGCCGAAATTCACGGACGCTTTCTGCGGTTCCTACCAAACCTTTGCCGTGACCGAAAAGGGCGAGGTTTACGCGTGGGGAATGAATAACTACGGCCAATTGTGCACCGGTGACAAAGTAGACAGTTTTCAACCGATACTTCTAAAAGACGGGTGGATTGGTGGGAGGGGCCAGGGCAGAGTCCTGGGCGTGGCTAAGAAGTTTGGGATCTCCAGCGGGCAGCATCATACAGTTGTTTGTTGTGGCGGCGACGTACTGACGTGTGGGAGGAAAGAGTATGGTAGATTGGGTTTGGGGGAGGAGAGCGAGGAACCGGGTGTACCGGCACTCGTGGAGAGTCTCAAAGGGGTTAAAGTTGCATCAGTCGAGGCCGGCGGGTCGTGTTCGTTTGTTGTCACGGAGACGGGGGAGGTGTACAGCTGGGGAATGGGGACGAACCTGCAATTAGGGATGTCGGACGACGAGGACGTTTGGACGCCGCAGAAAGTGACGGGAAAGAAGATAGAGAACAGGAAGGTTCTGTCGGTCTCAGTTGGTGGTCAGCACACGGTTCTCTTGGTCAGTGGGGACGGAGAGTGACGATGTGGCCCTGTAGACTGGCCATTCTAGCATGCACACTATTATGGTATATATATACATGTACGATGTATTTTCCTTGCTTGCTTTTAACCATGTGGCACTTTCTAACTTCTATCATGTAATGGCAGCGTTGCGCGGCCGCCGGCCGCCCCGTCGCCCCCAATAAGAGCACGCGATGCGCGCGAAAATTTTTGACTTGCGCATGCGCTAACGGGGCCGCGGGGTTTTTTCGGGCTTGGTTGAAAACTCACGTGCCAGAATTTACGAGCCCTTCAGTTCAGTCGTCCCACTGTGCATGTGACTTCCTACTCACTGTATATGCTGCAACTATACGGGTCTCCAAAATTGTCATGCGATAACTGAATCAGTGGAATTTCACCGCAACCCACGAGCATTTTTTCTCGGATACATCCCACGGGTCCAATGCAAACCGATCTCGTCAAATCGCAACAAGAGTAGCAAGTATGGCTGAAGACTTTCTCCGCGATAATCCAGGGCTGAGGCCGTTCGTTCTCTCCGACGTCCAGCGCACTGGTCACAAAATCGGCAGCGGAGCCTACGGCAAAGTGGAGGAGGTGGTCGTTCAGGTCGGCGCCGCTGCGAAAACCATCTACCCCTTCTTGCAAGGGGGAGAGCGGACTGCGGTTGGCCAACAGCCGAAAGCAGCGACGGAGTTCGTGAGAGAATGTCAGCTTATGAGCACTCTCCGCCATCCGAACATCGTCCAGTTTCTGGGCGTCGTTTTCTTTTCCGACTCGCGAATGCCAGCCCTCGTCATGGAGCGACTGTTGACGAGTCTTCATGACTTGCTGGCTCCGGACTCACCTTTTCCGTCCGGCGCCGTCACACCGATATCTTTCTTCTCCATGGCCCTCAAGTGCTCCGTACTGCACAACGTAGCGTGTGGCCTAGCCTACCTCCACGAGCGATCGCAACCCATCATCCACCGCGACTTGTCGGCCAGAAACGTTCTCCTGGACTCGGAGATGGTCGCCAAGATAGCGGACCTAGGCGTGGCTCGTATCGTGGCGGGGCCTGAAGCTGCTACTAGGACGCAGGGACCCGGGGCTTTAGTTTACATGCCCCCAGAGGCCTTCACAACAAGTCGATCAAGTTTTGATGCGACACGGTACGATGCTAGTATCGACATCTTCTCTTTTGGTGTCATTGCCATTTTCACAATCGGAGGAATCTTCCCCTCTAATCTCCTACCACCCGCCTATGAAGACGAAAATAAAAAGCTAGTAGCTCGCACTGAACTACAGCGACGCGCTGAGTACATGCGATATGTGAACGAGCAACTCCGTGCCTGTGGCCAGCTCCGTGGGGACCACCCTCTCATTCGGCTGATCCAGCAATGCCTGCACAACGGTCCTCACAAACGTCCGAGTATTGGTGAGGTGCTTCGTCTGTTGGAGGAGGCCAGAGCTGGTTTTAGAGATGAAGGGAGTGAGAGGAACAAACGTGAACTGGTACGAGCTCTTCAGACCCAGCCCAGGAACGAGGTGAGTAGCTCTAAAATGGCACTTCAGAGAAAAAGTGATTTAGCGAAACCCAAATTTTGTATCAGAACTTGGAGCGTATCCTGCGACACATGGTGAAAGAGATTGCAGAGCTCCAGTCCAGGGTGGAGGGGCAAGACGGGGAGTTAGCTGTACTGCAACAGCAACTGGACACACTGAGGGCCAAAGTCCCGGTATGTGACTTTTTTTGAGAATGTGCATGTTGATTTTTCTCGAATTGCTCGATGTATAAATAGTTCTTCAAGATTCCTTTCCTTTGGTCTTGGTTTTTTATATACATTCAATGCATACTTTTTACTTAAGAAAGAAAAGCCCTCTTTTTAAAAGATCGTTCTCAACATGAACGCACGATAGCCAACTCTCTCTGTACGATGTTCCTCTATCTTTTATGTTCTCATACCAGCCTGAAATCCATTCACCATAATTATTCCATAATTTTAATAAAACGAGGTTTTGGCTCTTTTGACCCACAACTAGTACACAAAGGAATTAATACATCCGTTTGGTACCGTAAGGAAGCATAATATGAGAATTATTGTTGGGTTCAGCTGGTTTAGGTGTGCATAAAGACAGAGCTGTCCTGGGTGTAGTTGACTAGCTGTCCTGACTTATTTGCCTTGCCTTGCCTTTCTATATACCTCACTACCAAGTTGTTGAGACGTAATATAAATATTGTGTGTATAATAAGGATGCCACGAAGTCTGAAGCACAGTTGGGTACATTCCTCGTGCTCAATTCCAGGGCCTGGACATGTGCAAAGCCACACACAGATTGGGAATATATAGTACTATAATAATATTAGGTGATATCAAATTTCTACCACCATATTAAGATTGTAGTAAGATTCCCACATCCTTGCCATACCGGAAACATAGTAAACTAGGACTTCCACCTACAATGCTGTGTCTTATGCTTTAGGCTAGGAGGGCTATATAGTTTGTGACCCTGGCAATATCAACGGTATCCATTTCACTGCTTTTTGCTTTTTCAATGACAGCTGAGGCTGACATACATAGTTGATAAAGGCGTCCACCTTGTATTAGTGTCAACTATTGCCCTTCTTCACAATCCTATTCCCTAATATTCCTGTAGGAGCCTCCCTTGCAGGTCAGTGGACCTGGTCTAACATCAGCCACAGTCAACCACCCAACACACGTCCTAGTCCAACCGAGTGACTACAGCCCTACTCTCTATTCCAACACAGCCAAAGTCACAGCACGCCTCGAGCCTGTTTCAGAAACCGCACCCACCACTCCATCCAGAATCAACCTACAAGTAGCCATGACGTCTCCCTCCCAATACGAGGTGTCGTACACACCAGTCAGTCGAGGCCAACACAAACTCCACGTTCAAGTCAACGACAGAGAAATCAATGGCAGCCCCTTCACCGTGACCGTGTACCCTGACCCCAGACAACTAGGCCACCCAGTGAGTGTTTATACAAGCCTGAGTGGGCCGTACGGAATGACATTCAACAAAGACAACGACATAATTGTCACCGAAAGTAACGGTGATACATTGTCCATCATTGACGCCCAAAGAAGGAACGTCCGCAAATTCCACGGAGCGATTTCGGATTCACCGAAGGGCGTGGCTATTGACGGTGCCGGCAACATCTACGTGACCAGCAAAAACAAGCTTCAGAAATTCTCCGCCACTGGGGCGCTGATTAAACGCATTGGCAGAACCGGAAGAAGTGAAGGGGAATTTGCAGACCCGCGTGCCGTGACGGTACACAACGATCAGCTGTACGTGTGCGACATCTACAACCACCGCATTCAAGTCTTTGACCTCGACTTGAACTTTGTCCGATCCATCGGCTCGCACGGAGAGGGACGCGAGGAGTTTGACGAGCCCCAAGACGTCTGGTTCGACACCGCTGGGAACATGTACGTGGCAGAATGGGGGAACGGAAGGATTCAAGTGTTGGACGGGAATTGCAAGTTCAAGCATGAATTTGGTCGCGAAGGGAGTCGACCATCGGGTCTTACGATTGCTGACCGATACGTGTATGTGTCCGATCTCAGCGGTCACTACATCGCCATTTACGACACCTCGGGTCAGTTTGTCGCTGCGTTTGGAAGGGATGGTACCAAGGAGGGTGAGTTCCAGGGACTACGCGGTATCAATACATGCGTCGATGGATTTATACACGTATGTGACAGTGGCAACAACAGAATACAGTCATTTTGAGATTTTTGTATAGTCATTTTGATTTTTGTACAGAATACAGTCATTTGGATTTATGAATTTGATTTTTGTACAGAATACAGAATTTGATTTTTGTATAATTATACAGAAAATAGTATTTTGATTTCTGTACAGAATACAGTCGTTTTTTTATATTTGTACAGAATACTTGATTTTTACGATTTTTCTGCATAACACACCAAGCAATATCTGTAACACCCATTCACACTTTCTGCACACTATTATTATAGAGCTCTATAATTATATCATCAGCTCACTGGACACTGTCCGCTAGATGCACACATATTTTTGATACGCAACGACTCAACGATCAATCTTTTGCTAATGGCAGAGGCGCGCTGGCAACCACCCCACTCTCCTGCGGCGCGGTTGAACGACCGGGTTGGACACGCATGCGCACAATGTTAGGGTGGGGTTCGTATTCTTACAATCACAAACATGGCTGAAGAGTTTCTCCGCGATCATCCAGGGCTGAGGCCCTTCGTTCTCTCCGACGTCCACCGCACTGGAACCGAAATCTGCGGTGGGGCTTACGGCAAAGTGGAGGAGGTTGTCGTTTCTGTTGGCGCCGCCGCCAAGACAATCTACGCCTTCTTGCGAGAAGCCAAAGCCTCGACCGAGTTCGTGAGGGAATGTCAACTTATGAGCACCCTCCGCCACCCGAACATCGTCCAGTTTCTGGGCGTCGCTTTCTTTCCCGGCTCGCGACTGCCAGCCCTCGTCATGGAGCGACTGCTGACGAGTCTTCACGACTTGCTGGCTCCGGACACGCCCCCTCCGTCCGGCGCCGTCACACCGCTATCTTTCTTCTCCATGGCTCTCAAGTGCTCCGTACTGCACAACGTAGCGTGTGGCCTAGCCTACCTCCACGAGCGATCTCGCCCGTCATCCACCGCGACTTGTCGGCCAGAAACGTTCTCCTGGACTCGGAGATGGTGGCCAAGATAGCGGACCTGGGCGTGGCTCGTATCGTTCCTCGTGTGAGAGCTGCAGCCACCATGACAAAGGGACCTGGGGCCTTAGTCTACATGCCTCCAGAGGCTTTTGCACCAACTCGACGAATACCGAAAGTCGAAATACGATGCCAGTATCGATGTATTCTCTCTTGGAGTTGTCGCCATTTTCACAATCGGTGAAGTCTTCCCCTGTGATCCTCTAGAGCACAACTATCTTAATGACGAAACTGGGTTGCTAGTAGCTCGCACTGAACTACAACGACGCGCTGAGTACATGCGATACGTAAACGAGCAACTCCGTGCCTGTGGCCAGCTCCGTGGGGACCACCCTCTCATTCGCTGATCCAGCAATGCCTGCACAATGGTCCTCACAAACGTCCGAGTATTCGTGAGGTGCTGCGTCTGTTGGAGGAGGCCAGAGCTGGTTTTAGAGATGAAGGGAGTGAGAGGAACAAACGTGAACTGGTACGAGCTCTTCAGACCCAGCCCAGGAACCAGGTGAGGGACTGTACACTTGTAGCGTGGCTGCTGCACGTTCAACAGCTTCCTAGGGTATAGCAATACCGATATCAGGCCGAGCACACATATGAATTTAGCAAGGTGCTTTTATAGTGTGTTAGTGTAAGGGGGGCGAGTTATACAGGGGAACAGGATGACATGTGGGTATGTCAGTCAGGGGCAGGTGAGGAATGTTCAGTGGTGCATGAAACGAAGTGGGTCAGAGTCATGTGGCTTCTGTTGTCTGCCTGGTTACACACTCATTAACCCTCAGCGCGCATGCACAGCGAGGGTTACTGTAGTTGTCGTGTGTGTCATTCATTCTGTCGTTAAGTGAGAACTCACTTCTCCAGTCATAGATCGCGTCCAAAACGGGTTTACATACCCAACGGCCGACGGAGGTCAGAATATATGTGGGATTTTCTCTGAAACTGCTTCTTTGCAGAGCTAGAGCGTTTTCCTGTTCGTACGGCAAGGGCGGCCATTTTAACAACGCGCATGTGTGTATAAAACGGGTTTACATAAGAAAGGAATAATCTTATCTATGAACCTAAATACAGCACCAGTAAGTACAACAATTCTACCAGACCTGGTGATACCATTGCCCCACCCATTACTTTACATAATTGTGCGTGTACCCCACTGTGCCGAGGGTTTGCACTTCAGTGCCT